GTGTGTGTGTGTGTGTGTGTGTGTGTGTGTGTGTGTGTGTGTGTGTGCGCGCGCGTGCATGCGTGCATGCGTGCGTGTCAGGTAATTTCAGAGGCCGGGAGGTGCCCTGTCATTAGCTGACACAAAGCCATTGTCCCCTTAATGAAGCTATTGTATGAGGAGATCCCAGTGTTTGGGATTACCCTGACTGAGCAAACGTGTGTGCATGTGTGCGTGCATGTGTGTGTGTGTCATTACTGATTTTTAATGGTAATTTCATCCTTTTAGATGTTTTTAAAGACAACTTTTGTGTTGGAGTCAAACCGAGGTCCAGTTGCAGCTGACTGATCTAAATTTAGCGGATTTCATTAATAAAGCAAAAAAAAACAAAACTACTTTTAATTTCTGATCATAGGGAACTCAGTCAGTTAACAACTCACTGTAATAAGAACATATAAAACTTATAAGACTTAACATTCCTTGAAGGAATTCATGCCAAAATTTTGGGCTAAAACGATCGTATATTTGTCACCAAACTTTCAAAATAACTCAATCTTATCGACTTCACAATATGTTGCCCTCAGAGTATGTGTTGTGAATGACCCTCATCTACCACCACACCAAATTTTAGGTCGCTATCTGCAACACTGACTGAATTAAAACCATTTTTGCATTATCTAATGTAACATAACTATGACAGCTATCTTGAATTGGATTAACTACAAAAGTTAATCAGTTATAAACACATCTTCAATAATTTCCTCCTGAGAGTTTCATTAAAACTTCTCAAGTGGGTCATGAGATATTTTGCTAACAGATAAACAAGGTTGATTTCAACAGTTAATGCCAACGTTTTAAGCAAATATTTTGCTTAATGAGTAGCACTTGAAATATGAGTTGTGAATGACTCTCAGCTACTACCACGCCAAGCTTTAGCTCATTGTTAGTCAAATTTACTGAACTGTAGCCATTTTTGTGTTTACTGAGTTCAGTTGACTGTGGTGGCCATCTTAATGGATATTTGCTCCAAACATTGATCAGCTGTAAAGGTACGTCTAGTGATTCATTCTTGAAAGATTCATTGAAATCTATCCAGTGGTTCATGAGATATTTTGCTAACAGACAAAACAAATGCGCATACAGAAAGGTAACTACATGATTTCCCTGTTTTTCATTATGACGGATGACAACAATAAAAACAAAACAGATTTTTTTTAGACGAATAAGAATCTCAAACCTGTTTGTTTTTTACCTAAATGAGTATTTTAGTTATTTAAAAGTTCAGTGAAAAGGTTATGAGCAGTTAATATCTTACCTGTTGTAGATAGATCTTTGGGTCACAGTTAAAATAATTCTTTAATAATGGATGGAGTTGCTGGATTTACTTCAATCTTGCGGCATGGAGGCAAAGTCACACGACAACAAAAGGCCATTGTGGACTTTGTCTGTAGAGGCAGTCTCTCCACAGCCTAATTTGTAGGCTGAAACGTTTTGCTCATGCAACATCTTGTAGTTGACCCGTATCTTTGCAGTTGTTTGGTCAGCATGCATCCCCGTACTCCTTTCCAATATTCAGCAAAAACAGGAACTTCTAGTATCTCTGCCGACAGTTAATCTCATCCTGTGGACTTCAAGTCTCCTGCTCTGTTTTCTGTGTCACAAGGGTGACAAACAGATAAGTATTCACAACACTTCACAATTTTTATAACAACGATTTTGAATGGTGTTGAAAAGGATCTCCAGCTAGTTGGAACATACACCTTAAACAATTAGACTTACCTCATCTATAAAAACAAGACTGTTAAAAAATACTTTAGGCTGTTTAGTTTTTATGATTTAAAAACATTTTTTTATACACGGACGTTGCCATTTTATTTATGTTGCAATGCATTCTGGGTAAATGATGTAGACAGGTGCGAGCTTCATTTAGCTTGAATGTTAATGTTGGACAAAATCTGACAGTCCTTTAATTTCAACAAAGTGTGCTGACAGAGAGGAGAATGTAGAAATGACTCATCTTTCTTGTTAGCTCTGGAGCTAATACTGTATGACATTAGCTCCAGAGCTAATATATATGACATTAGCTCGAGAGCTAATACTGTATGACAAGATGGTGTAGAGGCAGGGCAGCCGGCTTGGGACCCAAAAGTCCCAGGTTCGATCCCCAGTCACTGCACATCACGTGGCGTCTCTGGGCAGCACGCCTCATCCCCAAAATGCCCCCCGGGTGCTTTCAATAGCCGCCCACTGCACCACCTGGTGGTGGATGGGTTAAATGCAGAGACTAATTTTGCCATTGTATGGAAACATACAGTGCTGACATTGTGATGACATTATTATTATTATTATTAGCTCGAGAGCTAATATATATGACATTAGCTCAAGAGCTAATACTGTATGACATTAGCTCGAGAGCTAATACTGTATGAC